CACTGACGAGCAAACCCAAATTTCGTGAAAAGTGACTCTACAGACGAGCAAACCTAAATTTCTTGAAAAGGGACTCTACTGACGAGCAAAAGTAAAGTAAATTTAAGGACTCTACTAACGAGCAAAGTAAAATAACATTTAGGGACTCTACTGACAAGAAAGCTAAATTTAAAAAAATATATATCGACGAGCAAAAGTAAAAATAAGATAAAAAGGGACTCTACTGACGAGCAAAACTAAATATCAACAATTTCGGAAGTTATTGGTAGAATATCATATTAAAGGGAAAAAGAACTCTACTGACTCTAGTAACTCTGTATTAAAATATCAGTTTATAAGAAAGGAACTCTACTGGCGAGAAAATACAGGAAAAATGGTAAAAAATCATTTTTGAATTAGTGACTCTACTGGCGAGAGCTTGTAAAATGAAAGAAAAGGACTGTACTGGCGAGCAAAACTAAAATTAAAAATTTCGGAAGTTACTAAAGGAAAGAAACCCTACTGACGAGCAAATTAATAAACCTGAAATAAATATCATCAATCTGAAATAAAATATCATCCTATAAAAAGGAACTCTACTGACGAGCAAATTCATGAAAATTTTTGCTAAAATATTATTCAGTAAAAAAAGAACTCTACTGAAGAGAATATACAGAAAAAGAAAAAGGGACTCTAATGGCAAGCAAACTTAGAATAAAATGAAAATGAGACTCTTCTGACGAGCAAACTAAAAATAAAAAGAAAAGAGGTCTCTACTAGTGATGGGCGTTGAATCAACGAACGGTTATTTTCAACCGTTTCTTCTTCGTTAACTAACTAACCGTTTCGTCGCAACGAAATAACTAGTTGAAAATCAACTAGTTTCGAAACAGTTGAAAACATGGCGGCCAGTTAGTTTTTTCAACGATATAGGAATTCGTTCGTTGTCGAAAACGAACGTAGGCAGGTACCTGCGTCGGAAAGGATCAACTAATACTATGAAAATCGCTTATTGCTGGGCTACTGCTTTTATAATATAGCAAATGTACATGTACATCTTAAAAGAAACTTGCAACACGCGCCAAATCGTTTAATTTTAGAAAATCAGTTACATTTGTTATAGTTTTCAATGGTTAATATTTTTCATAAAAATCTCATAGCATTTGTCTTGTAATAATTTTTTTAAACTAAACCTGAAAATTGATTTTTTATTTTTCATAACATTTTATATAACTATACATTTTTATATTGCTATTTTTATATAACATGTAAATTCGATGTTTTAGTATATGGCTTTGCTGTAATGAAAATATTTAAGTTTTTTAAATTAAACCTTTATTATATATATATATATATATATATATATATATGTGTGTGTGTGTGTGTGTGTGTAATAAATGTGACAATTCACATTTATTTCTTTTTATTCATCAAATCCAACGTCAACTTGACTTTTATAAGAACAAACTTCATATTACCAACTTTCAATGAAACAGTTATTTCAACTATCAGTTTCTTAACGTTGCCAGCGTTGAATCGTTAAAAATAACTATAGTTGAAAAATAACTAGTTATTTAACTAGTTGACGAAACCCCGATAACCGTTTCGTTTCGTTGACGGCAAAACCGTCAACGACCCACCTCTAGTCTCTACTGACGAGCAAAATTAAAATAAAAGGAAAAAGGATTCTACTGACGAGCAAAATTAAAATAAAAGGAAAAAGGATTCTACTGACGAGCAAAATTAAAATAAAAGGAAAAAGGATTCTACTGACGAGCAAAATTAAAATAAAAGGAAAAAGGATTCTACTGACGAGCAAAATTAAAATAAAAGGAAAAAGGATTCTACTGACGAGCAAAATTAAAATAAAAGGAAAAAGGATTCTACTGACGAGCAAAATTAAAATAAAAGGAAAAAGGATTCTACTGACGAGCAAAATTAAAATAAAAGGAAAAAGGATTCTACTGACGAGCAAAATTAAAATAAAAGGAAAAAGGATTCTACTGACGAGCAAAATTAAAATAAAAGGAAAAAGGACTCTACTGATGAATAAATTAAAAATATAAGAACAAGAATATTTACTGACGAGTAAATTAAGAATGTAAGAAAAAGGGACTCTACTGACGAGCAAACTGAACTATTTCCCTCATATGTTCCTAAATTGAATTGTCGCCAAAATCGTTTTGTTTTGTGATGCAAATTGGCATCATTTTGCATCAAACCCTTTTGTTTTGCATATAAATTATACGACACGCCTCCCCTAAACTTCAATATTAGTCTTTAGTGAAACCAATAAGGGAAACCGGGATAAACAGACACAGTAAAGTGATTTTGTACTTTTGGGACAAAATTTTACTTTTTCGCTCATAACTTCAAAACTAATTAGTTTAGGAAAAACTTGTCCAAGAACGAATTAAACTAGATAAAATTTTACACACTTTTTATTTGGCACGTTTCGTTCTATTTCTAGAACTTCCCGATGTTTTTACTAATTTAAAACATACAATACTTGTACAACTTTGCGTCCGCCATTATTGTGAACAACTCGTATTCTAAAAGCGGCGGAGGCAAAGTTGTACATCTAGTATAATAATCGTGGTTTTAAAGTATACCGAGTTGCTGTAGAGCATTATGATACAAGACAATATTGAAGATTGTTTATTTTTACATAAGTTGGCCGAAGACATCATTCATATTAATCGAATGGTTTAGAAGTTACAAAGGATTGAAGGAATGTATGTACTTTAGTAACAAGCAAGCAAGGATATCTTTGACAAGAGTTTTTTTGTCATTAACAGTTTTTAATTGCTATTTTAAAGTATACCGAGTTGCTATAGGGCATTATGGTACAAGACAATATTATAGTTTGTTTAATTTTGAACAAATTTGCCGAATGTTGCATTCAGTTTGGACAAACCGTTCAAAAGATACAGAAGATATAATAAATAAATGCACACGAGTTATCATACTATAAATAGTACAGCGGGTCAAATGTGAGTTCAGAAGTTTTACTTCAAATATAGGCATGTTGGGTATCAAATGAAAGGTCTCGACGAGCACTATACATATATCTTAGTAACAGACTCAACGAACCAATAGGGTTCCATACACATAATTTATTTATTTTTTCTTATCAATTTTTGCTATTTTTAAGTATACCAAGTTGATGTACAGTGTTACTGTACTAGACAATTTTATAGATAATTTAATTTTACACTTCATTACATGCATTTTTTTACATTTACATACATTTTTTTGTCGAATATTGCACTCAAATCGAACAAACCGTTCAAAAGTTACAAGAGATATAACAAAGCAGTCAACCAATGGGTTGCAGAACTCGTAATCAAACACGAGTCAAAAAGTTTTACTTCAAATATAGGCTTGTTGGGTATCAAATGAAAGGTCTCGACGAGCACTGAACAAATATCTTGGTATCACATTCAACGGACCAATAAGGTTCCATTAAATCCTTTAAATAATTCACAATATATATTTTAGTAACATACATATATATTGTACATAGACAGTATTATACATAATTTAATTTAGAGCAAATTCGCCGAATAAACCATTCACTTTGGACAAACCGTTCAAAAGTTACAATAGATATAATAAACAGCCGACCAATGGGTTGCAGACCTCATGATCAAACACGAGTCAAAAAGTTTTACTTCAAATATAGGCATGTTGGGTATCAAATGAAAGGTCTTGACGAGCACTATCCAAATATCTTAGTAACAGACTTAACGGACCAATAAGGTTCCATTAAATCCTTTATATAATTCACAATATATATTTTAATAACAGACACACATAATATACATAGATAATATTATACATAATTTAATTTAGAACAAATTTGTCGAATATTCTATTCACTTTGGACAAACCGTTCAAAAGTTACAAGAGATTTAATAAAAAGTAAACCATTGGGTTGCGCCACTCGCAATCCCATATAAGTCAAAACGTTTTTCTTCAAATATAGGCATGTTGGGTATCAAATGAAAGGTCTCGACGAGCTCTATTCAAATATCATAGTAACAAACTCAACGTATGTCACAATGTCTATTTTGGCAATATTTAAATATACCAACTTGACGTAATGTAATAGTATATTAGTAGATATTATAGATCTTTCAATTTAGAACAAATTTGCCAAATAAACCATTCACTTTAAACCAACGGTTCAAAAGTTAGGAAAGATATTATAAACAGCCGACCAATGGGTTGCAGAACACGCTGTCGCATATATAAGTATAAGTCAAAACATTTTACTTCAAATATAGGCATGTGGGATATCAAATGAAAGGTCTCGACGAGCTCTACATAAATATCATAATAACAAACTAAACGAACGTCACAATGTTTATTTAGGCAATATTAAAATATTGCAATTTGACGTAAGGTAATACTATTTCATATTATATATTTTGTTTGATACTGCTCTTAATCATTATTTTCCAGATATGGGACTCAAATAAAAATTGCATAACGGATATTTAAGGATTTTTTTACCATAAGAAGAATCTCAAGATCTACAAGCCTTAATTAAACTATTCGAATTTTATAACATTTTTTTCTTCAAGTTATTGTATTAGATAATACTAATGTTAGGCTTAATATTGTTTAATAGTTGTATTTTTACTGTAATTCATTCAATTAAGATAATTTATTTTCTGTAATTATTAAATTTAATCCTGTATCCGTAATATAAATATATATATATATATATATATATATATATATATATATAATATTAGAAGACATCATGGATCTTTCAATTTAGTACAAATTTGCCGAATAAACCATTTACTTTGGACAAACCGTTCAGAAGTTACAAGAAGCGTAACAGAAACCGACCATTGAGTTGCAGAACTCGAGCTCTAGCATAACTCAAATAGTTTTACTTCAAATATAGGCATGTGGGGTATCAAATGAAAGGTCTCGACGAGCACTATACGAATATATATATATATATATATATATATATATATCCACAAATAAAAATTTCCACTTACCTTTACCGCCGTCTTCATCCCCTTCACCTCGTGCCAAGACCCATTCCCAGTCCTTCCTAAGCCCTTCGACCTTTTCTCGAAGTTCAGAACAAACTGGGTCGCCTCCTGGCTGGTTCGTAGATTTGCTAGCCTGCTGCAGACTGCACTGACGTTCCAGATTCGCAAAGTTGCCCAAAGCGTCCGTCACCAAGTTGGAGCGCTCGTGTGCGGAATTCTGGGAAAAAAAAATGGTTAATTAATAATAATAATAATAAACTAGTGGTGTATGGCATCGTGCCTTGAGGCAAATTGCTGGAACTTCCCGTACCGTAATGGAGTGTTCGAGAAATTTTAAACGTTCTCAAATATAATATTACAACAAATACTGTAGCTTTCATTATTTTTGCATTATCTTGTTTGTTATATCTGAGTAAATCAAATGTAAATCATAAATCATAAATCAAATTATCTCCCGGAACATTAACAATCGTCATTTCATTTAGAATTCAATTTCAAAATAAAAATAGTTAGTTGTCTAATTTACACAAAATTGAAAAAGTGCATAGTCACAGTCTAAACGCATTTGCAAATAATTCTGTGCGACATTTTCACTTATACTGTGCTTAGCTTGGCGGCATTTTCACATTTTTCAATAGTTTTCACAAAATTGGAAAATCGCTACAGTACATAAACAGTCTAAATGCGCTTGGGTAAACATTTGCACCAGAGTGGCGCTTAGACTGTGCTTAGCCTGGGTGATTTTTTTAATTTTTAATCCAAAATTACGAAAATATTTTATGGAATATAAAAAGAGATGTAATAATTAAAATATTAGAATCAAAAGAACTCTACTGACGAGTAAAATGATTTTTTTTTAATAAAAAGGACTTTACTGACAAGCAAAACGACTTTTTTTTGGAATGAAAAGGACTCTACTGAAGGGCATAATTGGGGAAAATGTTATATTATAAAAAAGGACTCTACTGACAAGAAAAATTAATTTGTTTTGGAATGAAAAGGACTCTACTGACGAGCAAAATGAATTTTTTTTGGAATAGAAAGGACTCTACTGACGAGCAAAATGTAAAAAATACTTTAAAAAGGACTCTACTTATGAGCAAAATGAAAAATATTTGAATAAAAAGGACTCTACTAACAAGCAAATTCAGGGAAAGTGTTACTTTAGGAAAAAGAACTCTACTGACGAAAAACATGATTTTGTTTTGAATGAAAAGGACTCTACTGATGAGCAAATTTAAAAAAAATGTTATTTTAGAAAAAGGAACTCTACTGACGAGCAAAATATTTTTTTTATGAAAAGGACTCTACTGATAAGTAAATTTAGGGAAAATGTTATTCTAGAATGAAAAGAATTCTACTGACAGAAAAGAACGATTTTTTTTAATGAAAAGGACTCTACTAACGAGCAAATCTAGAAAAAATGTTATTTTAGGAAAAAGAACTCTACTGACAAGAAGAATGATTTTTTTAGAATAAAAAAAATTCTACTGACGAATGAAATGAAGCGAACTCTTCTGACGAGCAATTTCAAAATATTTTTGAAATGAAAAGAGCTCTACTGACAAGCAAAACATTTTTTTTGACTAAAAAGGACTCTATTGACAAGCAAAATGATTTTTTTGTTGAATAAAAAGGTCTCTACTGACAAGCAATTTTGTAAAATTTGTAATAAAAAGGACTCTACTGACGAGCAAAATAAAAAAAAATCGGAATATAAAGGACTCTACTGACGAACAATTTCGGAAAAATTTTATAATGAAAAGGACTCATACTGACAAACAAAATGAAAACTTAGTAAAAAAAAACTCTACTGACGAGCAACCTAAAACTATAGATTTTTACTAAAAAGGACTCTACTGACGAGCAAACTGTAAATAAAATATAAACAGAAAAAAACTCTACTGACACTTTTGACATATTTATAATAATTATTCCTACGAGTACTATTTATTTTTATGAAGACGTCACTATAATATTCTTAAAGTGCTCATCGAGACCTTTCATTTGATACCCAACACGCCTATATTTGAAGTAAAACTTCATAACTCAAATTTGACCCCGAGTTCTGCAACCCAATGGTCGACTTTTTAGTAAATCGCTTGTAACTTTTGAACCGTTCGTCCGAAGTAAATGGTTTATTCGGCAAATTTGTGTTAAATTAAAAGATCTATAATATCTTCTAATATACTATTATCTTACGTCAAGTTGGTATAATTTAATATTGCCAAACTAGATATTGTGACGTTCGTTGATTTTATTACTATGATATTTGGTTAGTGCTCGTCGAGACCTTTCATTTGATACCCCACATGCCTATATTTGAAGTAAAACTTCTTGACTCATGTCTGTCTTCGGGTTCTGCAACCCATTGGTTTACTTTTGTTACAACTCTTGTAACTTTTGAACCGTTCGTCCGAAGTAAATGGTTTATTCGGCAAATTTGTGCTAAATTAAATTATCTATAATATTGTCTAATATAGTAAAACCCTAGAGCAACTTTGAAATATCAAAAATTGATAACTAAAAGTAAATAAATTATGTGTACGGAACCCTTTTGTTTTGTTGAGTTTGTTACAAAGTTATTCTTAAAGTGCTTGTCGAGACCTTTCATTTGACACCCAACGTGCCTATATTTGAAATAAAACTTCTCAACTCATATTTGAAGTAAAACTTCTTAACTCACATTTTGACTATTTTTCCTTTTCCTTACCATTATTCCATCGATGACCCTTTCCCGGTCCTTAGGGTCTTGCATAGTCTTACTAATGTTAATCCTGGTCTTTAATTCGCAAACCCAAGCCCTTGCAGCGTCTAATTGGGCACTTTGTCTTTGAAGGGAATTTAGGGCTTGTGCAGACTGGTGACGCTGATTGGTCAGTTCCGAAGTTGTCTGAAAGGAAAAAAGAAATATATTAATTTTGAATGCGTTTTTAGGGTATACCGAGTTGCTGTAGGGCACTGGGGTAAAAGACAATATTGTTGGGAATTTAGTTGTGAATAAATTTGTCGAAGACATCATTCATACTAAACGAATGGTTTAGAAGTTACAAGCGTCGAAACAAAACAATATCAATATTAAATATACAACTTTGCTTCCGCCGTTTCTTATAAGGCAAGTCCTCCAAAATAATGGCGGAAGCAAAGTTGTACACGCGATATGTTTTCAAAAGAGTTTTTCAGAGTATACCGAGTTGCTGTAGAGCATTGGGGTAAAAGACAATATTGTTGGGAATTTAGTTGTGAATAAATTTGTCGAAGACATCATTCATGCTAATCGAATGCTTTTGAAGTTATATGAGTTGCAACAAAAAAATGCACTCGGTATACTGCGTTCCGAGGCAAGATGTCTTCGTGTGCGGTATGTGTGAAGCTTGAGAAATTGATGAAGTTTGTATGGAAACTAGTGTACTTGGGTACTTTGGATTATTGGGTCGATTCAAGTGCTATTTTAAAGTACAGGGAGTTACTGTAGGGCATTATGATGTTAGACAATATTGTAAATAATTCAATTCTGAACAAATTTCCTATACACACCATTCATACTAAACGAATGGTTTAGAAGTTACGACGCATATAGTAAACAAAGACACTTATTTTGCTTTATGAATTATTCGGTTTTCAGATGCATTTTGGAGTATACCGAGTTGCTGTAGGGCTTTATGATGTTAGACAATATTGTGCATGATTTAATTCTGAACAAATTTCCCATACACACCATTCATACTAATCGAATGGTTTGGAAGTTATGACAGTTCAAGCAAATACTTGCACCAGTAACTTTATAAACATCTTGATCTCAATCAATCTTAATTGAATTAATTTGTAAAAAAAAATCTAGAAAAAAAAATATTTTAATACAAAAGGGTCTCTACTGACGAGCAAAAAAACTTTAATTTAAAAACAATGTTATTTTGAATATTAGGACAAAATAGGACTCTACTGACGAGCAAACTCAAACATTCCACATAATATTAGTCAAAAAATGTTAAAATTTTGTAAAAATACGACTTTTGGTTTTGAAGAGCTCTCCAGGACGCACCGTTTGTACTACAGTGCTGTAATTCAGGTATGTTATACTTTAATATATGTAGTGAATATAAAAAATATAAAAACATAATTTTTGATAATTTTGAGTAGAAAAAATAGTGTTGAATTAGCACAAAGTGCACGAAACATGCAAAATTAGTTTGTTGATTTTTGACGAGCTCTGCAGGACGTACCGTTTGTACTACAATGTTGTAATTTGAGTATGTTATACCTCAAAGGGTCTTTTAAATATAAATAATACAAAACTGTATATTTTTGTAACAAAATATTTCAAAACAAAAGTCAACACGTTTACAAGTAAAAAGTTAAAATGTTTTGTTAATTGATTAAGTAACTTTCAAAGAGCTCCTCAGAACGTATTTTTTGCACTAGAATGTTATAATTTGAGTATGTTATACCTTAATAAGTCATTTAAATATAAAAAATACAAAACCATAAAAATTTCAAACTGTACTATTTAAAAAAAAAATTATGTAAACTAATTGACAGTCCCCTGTCAACATTTCACTCGTCCCACACTTTTTTTTCTAAATCTATTTTAGTCTAAAGATTTACGTCTTCATATTTCTTCTTTAGATCTTGAAATCTTTATCTGTCTTTTTGTATCTAAATTTATTTTAGAAATGTCACAGGTAATGAGAAGAAATGACATGAGAGATTTATTTATGGTTTAAAAATAAAATATAAAAATAGAATTTTAGTTTTATAATTTTTTTTTAAATATTGTACGGAACCCTATTGGGTAACTATGATATTTGGATAGAGCTCGTCGAGACCTTTCATTTGATACCCCACATGCCTAAATTTGAAGTAAAACTTTTTAACTCGTATTTGACCCCGAGTTCTGCAACCCATTGGTTTGCTTTTCCTTAAATCCTTTGTAACTTTTGAACGATTTGTCCGATTTGGATGACACATTCGGTGAATTTGTGTTAAATACAATGATCTATAATATCTTCTGATATATTAGTGTCTCGGGAGAAATTTGGTACACTTTTGGAAATTAAATAAATTATTTGAACGAACCCTATAAGGTTCTTGGGTCTATTTCAATAATATTTGGATAGTGCTCGCCGAGACCTTTCATTTGATACCCAACAAGCCTATATTTGAAGTAAAACTTTTTAATTTATATCTGTCTTCAGGTTCTGCAACCCAATGGTCTACTTTTTAATAAATCTCTTGTAACTTTTGAACCGTTTGTCTAAAGTAAATGGAATATTCAGCAAATTTGTGTCTATAATTTATTCTAATACAGAAACACGCTAGAGCAACTTGGTATACTTCAAATTGTTAAAATAGATTGACTAAATCCTTTGTACGGAACCCTATTGATTTGTAGAGTTTGTGAATATGATTTCAAGATAGTCCTCGTCAAGACCTTTCATTTGATACCCAACATGCCTATATTTGAAGTAAAACTTTTTAACTCATGTTGGACCCGTTGCACTGTTTATAGTACCGTAACTCGTTCGTGCATTTATTTATTAAATTCGTTGTAACTTCTAAACCATTCGTTTGATATAAATGTTATATTCGGCAAATTTGCTCAAAATTAAATAATCTACAATATTGTCTTTTACCCCAATACTCTACAACAATTCGGCATACTTTAAATTCGCAGTTAAAGTATTTCTAGGTATCTCACCTTTTCTAAATCTGTTAGGAGTTGATCGAAGCACTCGGCAGATAGCGGTAAAGGTTTGGAACTCTGCTTCAATTGGTCCATTTCATTGATTTTGCCCTTGAGGTCTTCTAGGCGAGTCTGGAATTAAAAAAATAGATGTAGTTAGTATTAAGATATTTTGAAATCATATAAAAAATGGTAAGACAAATAGAACTCTACTGACAAGCTAGTTTGCTTGAAATTGAAATATTCACATTCTATAAAGTTAAAAAAAAAATTCTGCATGATGATAAAATTCAATAAGAAAAAAAACTGTTAGGCGTACGTCTTGAAGAGCTCATTAAAATAGATATCTAGTCACTAATACTATTTTTTATTATAGTTAGAAATTTGATTATTTAAATAAAAATGTTCTGAATATTTATAAATAATATTTGATCATAATTATATTTAGTATTTAATCTAATATTTAATTAATTAATTAATATTTAATCTAATATTTAATATTAAATATTTAATTTAATATTTATCATGTATATAAACCACAATTATCTAGAACCAAAACCAGAACCTAGTACCATAGAAGTACGATACGCCAAAGACAATAAGCGCCTCTATGAACGTCGTTTGCAACTATTAACAGACAATAGCCCCATCTATGGACGTTTACTGGAGTCGGTAAAGTTTATTAAATTATTAAAATTTTATAAACAAAAAAAAACTCTACTGCTTTTCATATTTTTTTATGAACTGACAGTTTCTGAATTTGGTTGTTAGTAGAGTTCTTTTTTCTAAAATTATTAGAATTTAGTAGTGTCCCTTTGTATTGAAATTTCAGTTTGCTCGTCAGTAGAGTCCTTTTTTATTGATTGAAAAAGGGACTCTACTGATGAGCAAACTAAAAAAATCAATAAAAAAGGACTCTACTGACCAGCAAACTAAAAAAATCTATAAAAAGGGACTCTACTGACGATCAAATTTGAAAATCAATAAAAAAGGACTCTACTGACGAGCAAACTAAAAAAAATCAATAAATAGGGACTCTACTGACGAGCAAATTAAAAACGAAAAGAAAAAGGGACCTTACTAACGAGTAAACTAAAACTGAATGTAAAAGAAACTCTACTGACGAGCAAGTCAAAATTAAATTTAAAGAAATTATTAGAAGATATTTATAAGAAAAAGGAACTTTACTGACTATTAAAAAAAAGAAACTCTACTAACAAGCAAACGTTAGAAAAGGACTCTACTAACGAGCAAACTGACAACGAAAAATAAAAGAGACTCTGCTGACAAAAATGTTAGGAAAAAATAAAAGCATTTTAAAGAAATGTTAGAAAAGGACTCTACTGACGAGCAAAATTAAATTGAAATGAAAGGAACTGTACTGACAAGCAAACTAAAAGTAAAATTTTAAAAGGACTCTACTAACGAGCAAAGTAAAAATAAGAATTATAAGGGACTCTACTGACATGCAAATACAATTTTATGACTAAGGGACTCTACTGACGCCCTGACGAGCTCATTAAAATAGATATCTAGTTACAATATTTATATTTTACAATATTTATGACAAACAGACTCTACTGACGTTCTGACGAGTTCGTTAAAATATATATCTTCTTACAACTGATATTTATTTTATTATTTACAATAGTTGTATATTAACTCAGTAGAAATGAAATGAAATAATAAAAGAGTGTCAAATTTCTTCGGTCGGTTGCCAAAAATCCTCTGAATTTGGCACCGGTGCCAATTTCCAATTGACAGCAACATGATTTAATGTTTTTGGTCGGCGTTCTGTGCCATATGGCCGGTCGATTTTGTGAAGATAATTGAGGTTATAAATATAAACAAGAATCTGTCTGTCTAAGATTCGTACCAACGTTCACAGACGGCGCTGCAGTCGCAGATATATATATATTATATATATATAGATGTCTCTTTCTAGGCTCTACCTATCTCTCTTGCTTTAATTTTATTAGTTTGCTCGTCAGTAGAGTTCCTTCTTTTCCTAATTTTATTTTGCTCGTCAGTAGAGTCCGTTTTCCTTTATTTTTTAGTTTACTCGTCAGTAGAGTCCCTTCTTTTCCTAATTTTATTTTGCTCGTCGGAAGAGTCCCTTCGTTTCCTAATTTTATTTTGTTGGTCAGTAGAGTCTGATTTCCTTTAATTTTTAGTTTACTCGTCAGTAGAGTCCCTTCTTGCTTTCTTTCAGATTGCTTGTGAGTAGAGTTCTTTTTTTTAATTTTATAGTTCGCTCGTCAGTAAAGTCCCTTCTTTTCCTAATTTTATTTTGCTCGTCAGTAGAGTCCGTTTTCTTTTATTTTTTAGTTTACTCGTCAGTAGAGTCCCTTCTTGCTTTCTTTCAGATTGCTTGTGAGTAGAGTTCTTTTTTTTTAATTTTATAGTTCGCTCGTCAGTAAAGTCCCTTCTTTTCCTAATTTTATTTTGCTCGTCAGTAGAGTCCGTTTTCTTTTATTTTTTAGTTTACTCGTCAGTTCACTTCTTGCTTTCTTTCAGATTGCTTGTGAGTAGAGTTCTTTTTTTATAATTTTATAGTTCGCTCGTCAGTAGAGTCCCTTTATATTTTTATTTTTCTACTTCGCTCGTCAGTAGAGTCCTTTTTATTTTATTTTTGTTAATTTGCTCGTCAGTAGAGTCCTTTTTGCTTTAACATTTCAAAGTTTCAGTCTCCAAAATTTGCCTATTGGCAAGTTATAAGCGCTGATCAATTTAGATGTTTGTGAATTAAACTAAAAATAAAAACCAAAAGGGACTCTACTGGCGACCAAACTGAAATAGAAGAAACAAAGGACTCTACTAACGAGGAAAAAAGAACTCTACTCATAAGCAAACTGAAAATAAGAAAAGAAGTGCTCTACTGACAAGCAAACTGAAAAAATAAAAGAAAAGGGGGACTCTACTGACGAGCAAAATTAAATTAGAAAAAGAAGGGGCTACACTGAGGTGAAAACTATAAAACTAAAATGAAAAGGGACTCTACTAAATAGCTAGCTAAAAATTATAGAAAACGGGTCTCTACTGACGAGCAAACTGAAAATTAAAGGAAAAGGGACTTCACTGACGAGCAAAATAAAATTAGGAAAACAAAGGACAGTACTGAGAAGTAAACGATAAAAATAAAAGAAGCGACTCTACTGACGAGCAAAATAAAAAAATAAAAACTAAAAGGGACTCTACTGATCAGCCAATTAAAAAAAAAAAATGAAAAAGGACTCTACTAACGAGCAAATTAAAATAAAAAATGAAAAAGGGACTCTACTGATGAGCAAACTAATAAAATGAAAAAGGGAATCTACTGACGAGCAAACTAATAAAATTCAAAGGGACTCTACTGACGAGCAAATTCTATAAAACTATTAAGAAAAAAGCGACTCTACTGACAAGCGAATTAAATTTATACTTTACAACAAAATTTCTGGGGAAAATAAAAGCATTTTAAAGAAACGTTAGAAAAGGACTCTACTGACAAGCAAAAGCGTCCTGAAGAAAAGACATTGTCATACATAAGAAATTAGCTTGTCAGTAAAGTCCGGTCAAACTGTATTAGAGAATATTATAGATGGTTTAATTTAGAACAAATTTCTCGAATATTTCATTTACTTTGGACAAACGGTTCAAAAGTTACAAGAGTTTCAACAAAAAGTAGACCAATGGGTTGCGAAACTCGCGTTCCATATAAGTCAAAACATTTTATTTCAAATATAGGCATGTGGGGTATCAAATGAAAGGTCTATCGTAATATTGTATTTACAAACACAAGAAATCTACAGGATTCCGACAATTTATACAAATTATATTATCTAATTTTAATTAATTATTATATTTATATTTATATTATTTAATTTTAATTTTAAAGTATAACAAGCTGATGTAAGGGAGCTTATTATAGATATTATAATTTAGAACAAATTTGCCGAACAAACCATTGACTTTGGACAAACCGTTCAGAAGTTACAATGGTTATAATAAAAAGCCGACCAATGGGTTGCAGAATTTGAGATCAAATATGAGTTAGGAAGTTTTACTTCAAATATAGGCATGTTGGGTATCAAACGAAAGGTCTCGACGAGCACTATACGAATATCCCATTTGTTAGAAAGAAAGAACTCTGCTGACGAGCAAATTACACACATTATATATATATATATATATATATATATATATACAAATTCATGAAATGATGAATATTGTTTACAACTCGCCACTAGGCTAATTTCGGACACGGAAATAGTTCTTAGATTGGAATTCGGCATGAGCTGTAATTCCAGTTCGCGAAGCAAAATGACGGAGCTGCAGCTGCAAATGCAACTGCAGTTGTGTATTTGAACCAATTATAGTTCAAGAAAACTCAAAATGTTAAAACAAAAAGAATTCTACTGACATGCTAATCAAACATAGGTAGCATAAAATGACGAGAAAAAATAGACTTGTAACAAAAGAAACATTTAAATCTTGATTTGAAATTAAAATTTAGACAAAAGGAACTCTACTGACAAGTAAATTAGAATGTTAAGAGAAAAAGGGACTTTATTGATGAGAAATTAAAATGTGAAAAAGGACTACAGACAAGCAAATAAAAATGTTGAGAAAAAGGACTCTACTGACAAACAAACAAGAATGTTGAGAGAGAAAATGGACTCTACTGATGAGCAATGATATAGGAAGAGTCTCAAATGGCGAGAAAATTAGAATGATGTAAAAAAATAACTCTACTGACGAGCAAAGTTATTAAGAAGGCTCTCTACTGGCGAGCGAATTAAAATATCAATATTGAAAATAGACTCTACTTACAAGGAAAAAAAATGTCGAGAGAAAAAAGGACTCTACTGACAAGCAAATTAAAATGTCAAGATAAAAAAAAAATCTACTGGCGAGCGAATAATAATCTCAAGAGAGAAAAGTACTCTACTGACGAGCAAATATATAAACAAGAATCTACAATTAAATATTAAAAAGGACTACTGACGACCATCTTAGAATGTTAAGAAAAAAAGGACTCCTAACGAGCAAATATATTAACAATAGTCTTTAATGACAAGCAAATAAAAATATCAAGAAAAAAAGGGACTCTACAAACAAGCAAATAAAACTGTACAAAGAGAAAAAGACTA